GTCCCGAAGGAGAGGCAAGGGGCATCTCCAAACGCCCTCAGAAACAGACAAACCGAACCTATGCTCTATGGCAGTGGAGAGTCAGAGCCGGAGGACCTGGGAGCAGGCAGGGCTGCCCTTGGAGCAGAGAGAGTCCGGTGCTGCTGCCAGGAGACGGTGACCTGGCTGGGGCTCGCAGACCGGGCAGGAGCTAAAGCACTCTCTGGAGGAAAGTTTTCCACCTGGGGCCTCCAGGACCCCGCTGATTAGAATCTGGCACTAAGCTCCCAACCCAAGGATCAACACACACATCAGACACACCACTGATGAGTGAGCCGTGGTGGTTAAGGAGGACCACCCAGCAACTGGGGTTGTGCTATGGTCTGAATGTTGTCCCCCTCAAAGCTCATGTGGAAGCTTGATCCCAATGTGGCCGTGTTGAGAGGTGGGGCCTTTGGGAGGTGACTGGATCGTGAGGGCAGATGGATTAATGCACTCATGGATTAACGGATTAATGGATGAGAGGGTTATCATGGGAGGGGCTCTGGTGGCTTTATAAGGAGAGCAAGTGAGCACATTAATATTCTCTCTGTGCCCCCCTTGCCATGTGATGGCCTGTGCTGCCGTGGGACTCTGCAGAGAGTCCCTACCAAGATGTACCCCTCAGCCTTGGACTTCCCAGACTCCAAAACTGTAAGAAATAAATTTTGTTTCTTTCAAAATTACCCAGTTTCAGGTATTTGGTTGTAAGTGACAGAAAACGAGGTAATATAAATTGGAAAAAGTAGCTGTTCATCTGAACAAAAAATGAAAATGCACCCCCACCTCATGCCATGCTTGAGAACAAATCCCAGATGGATCAAAGATAAAACTTCAACGTTCCCATCCCTGGTTCAAGCCTCATTTCTAAGCCCTGGCCTGGGAAGCAGCTCTCAGTGGTCTCCCTGAGGCCAGAGACTCCCCACATCTAATGACAGTGTCTCACACGCGTACAGCATTTTACTATTTTTGAATGATCGTAGTAATAGCGCCATCTGTGAGCAGCTGAAATGGCAGCACTGACAGGCCGCTCAACACATGTGACCTCAGCTCATTGCCTTTTTGAATGATCGTAGTAATAGCGCCATCTGTGAGCAGCTGAAATGGCAGCACTGACAGGCGGCTCAACACATGTGACCTCAGCTCATTGCCACAACACTACAAAGGCAGGCACGGGGTCTGGCTCCTCCTAGCTGCTCACGAACTGAAAAATGAGTGCATTTTTCTTTCTGCACATGGGACAGCTAAGGCTCAGAGACAGTAAGCACCTTGCCCGACGTCACACAGCCATTAAGTGGCAGAGATGGCCGAGTTTCTATTAAGTACTCCAGACCTCCAGACAGCTGCTGCTGGTTTTGAAGGCCCTTCATCTTCCAGCCTCTCCCTCCCCTTTTAATCTTCATACTCTCCAACAGGAACGCCCCTCTCAACAGATGCACTGAGCTAATTCCAAGCCTTTACCAGTGCAGTAGAAAGTACCTGAATTGTCTTTCCTCTACCCACCTCCATGGCACCCACCCTGGGGCCAGCACGAGTCCCAGATCCTCTCAGAAACTCCCTCTGATCTCACCCTCCCCTAGCTGCCAGCACAACCACCCCAGAATTTCTACCGCCCTTTCAGCTAATCCTTTCAAGCATTTGCAACCATTTATGTAAAAACCTAACTAAACACAACAAAAATCCCTAAACCAAGAGTCTGTATCTGTGTACGTACATAGCTCACGTATGAAAACGCACAGCGGGACTGTGAGTCTGCTCATGACACGGCTGACCCTGGGCAGAGGATCCTGAAGACCGTGAGGCTGTTACTTGAGGTAGAAAATTAAGGAGGAGCCCATTGAAGAAAGGACTACATTTCACTATGGACACGTTACACTTCAGGCACCTTCTGAAACCTACAGGAAAAATTATCCAGGAGGCAGTTGGGAAAATGGCCCAGACGGATCAAAGACCTACACTTAAGAGCTAAAACTATAAAACTCTTAGAAGAAAACATTGGAAAAAGTCTTCATGACACTGGATTTGGCAACAATTTCATGGAT